ATCTGGAATTTAAGGGTTAAAAAAAATCAAAATATTGAGAAAATCACCTTTAAAATTGTCCAAATGAAGTTCTTAGCAATGCATATTACTAAATAAAAAGTACGTTATAATATTTTTACAGTAGGAAATTTACAAAATATCTTCATGGAACATGATCTTTACTTAATATCCTAATGATTTTTGGCATAAAAGAAAAATCAATAATTTTGACCCATACAATGTATTTTTGGCTATTGCTACAAATATACCCCAGTGTTTTGTGGTCCAGGGTCACAAATGTTAACTCTTTACTATCAAGCCCCAGATGAAATAGTAAGATATTGTTAATGATAAGATTCATCGTAAGGGTGTGATGAGTGTAAGGGGCGTTTGCAAAGGTTGTTTGAAAATGTGCTTTGTTTTTGTAGTTCTGCTTAGTGACACTAGTAGCGCCAAATCAAAATACTTCACCTTTGAGGATGCAGTACTTATTTGTATTATTATATCATTATTATTAATAATACTATTTCACAACTAGTCAAAACATAGTTGTAGTTGCACCAGATAGTGTTTAAGTTTTTTGATAGTTTAAAAAGTATTACAAGGTTGTTGTTGTTGTTTTTTTGGTTGGTTTTTTTTTTTTTTTGGTTACTAAACTCATATGTTCGTTTGTGTTATTTAATAGTTTTATAACTTTACTATACTTCTAAAATGTAAAACATAGCAAAAAATAAAGGAGAAGGTGTGTCCAAATGTCTGACTGGCAGTGAAATGTATCTTTGTCAATGGAAACACTTTGCGTTTCTGCACCTTTTGTTCCGCCGTCTATGCAGCAGTGAGAATGAAATGAAAGTCTAATGCAACCCTCCACAATAAGGATCACTGCACTTAAAAGCAAGTCATTCATGCTGGTGCTTTTTTTACTTTAAAAAGCCCATGACTTTTGAGAACCCCCTTCATCATCAGAGCCCATCAGTTCCTGCTGGTATCTTAAAGAAGAGGCTGATGAATAATCTTAAAGACTTTCAGTCATTTATTGGCTGTGATCTGTAGTCTGGTGACATTTAGGGGCATCGCTGCTTTGCAATGATTGCATGTCTTCATATCAATTTGATTAAGTTCAGAGTCCATGTTGGGTTTAGTTGTTACCATGGCGTCTGCAAAGCAACATTATTTTTTTTCTGTTATAGGTACTGAGTGAATCTTGAAAGAGAAAGGCTTTTATCCTGAGAGGAATTTCAAGTGAACCCATATTTTCTCACAAATGATGTGGGTAGATATTTCATTTTAAAACATGAAACAGTGTCTGTGTAATAGAGTAGCACCAGTTAAATGGGTCCGGATAAAAATCTATCCCATTGTCAATGCTCCCAAGTCCCCTTTTTAATGTTATATCATAAAAAAAGCCTTCTACAAACTGGCACCAACATTTCAAATGTACAAAGCTGAATAAAATACAGAAAGCATTATTTGAAAGACTTTCACTTTTTGTTCTACAACATAAACTGCACACAGTCATGCCTCAAATATGAGTTTTGAAGCCAGCGTATGTGTGTGGTTGCTAACAAGTTGGCCTACTAAATAAGGACAACGACCACAAGGATGTGTTTGACAAATCAGAAAACCATTCAAATCTTTGTTAGCAATAAATAAAGTAACTTGTTAGCAACTTCCTTTTTGGGTCAACCTTCAAATTGACATCCTGACTGAAAAATGTTATTGCTCCAATGGTGATAAAATTTCTTATTACAGAATTGATGTACAAATTTACCTATTACAGAATTATGGCATTCGCAAGAAAAACATTAAAGGGATAGTTCACCCAAAAAAATGAAAATTGTCATCATACTCATTTACTCATTACTAATTCTGATAAAATTGTAATGAAAACTGTAATAAATTCTAATAAATGTAATAAATGATATGTTGGATCAGAAAAAAGTTCTAAAGCTACTTTTTGTAATGTCTGTTTCTCAGCCAGATTATTAGATTAATTAATCACCACATTGTCTAATATATATATATATATATATATATATGTATATACAGTGTATATATATATATACACACAAAGATGGGTAGATTACTTGAAAATTGTAATCCGTTACTGATTTCAAATTACATGACAAAAATTGTAGTTAGTAACGTAATCCGTTACATTACACATTTGTGACCCTGACACAAAACCAGTCATAAGGGTCAATTTTTCGAAATTGAGATTTATACATAATTTGAAGGATGAATAAATAAGCTTTCTATTGATGTATGGTTTGTTAGGATAGGACGAAAAATAACAATTTGAAAATCTGGAATCTGAGGGTGAGAAAAAATCAAAATACTGAGAAAATCTCCTTTAAAGTTGTCCAAATCAAGTTCTTAGCAATGCATATTACTAATCAAAAATTAAGTTTTAATATATTTACAGTAGGAAATTTACAAAATATCTTCATGGAACATGATCTTTACTTAATATCCTAATGATTTTTGGCATAAAATAAAAATCAATAATTTTAGGTAATATAATCAGACTACTTTTTGATTACTTTTAGATTACCTTTGACCTAACTCATTTATCATATTGATTTAAATAAGATAATATTGTACGATATTGCTATAAAAATGCAAATAAAAAGAAAATATATTGCATTTCTTTCTATGACGTGCACATTATGTCAAGGTTTCCCAAACTGGGGCTCGTGAATTGCAGGGGGTTTGTGAGTTTAATGAAAAGCTAATAATTCAAATGTAAAATTAAAATAAATCATGTTAAAATAACGAAAATCAAAATAAAACACTAAAAATATATATTTAATTTGTTTGACATGTGACAGAGAATGGTGAACATGCAAATGTGTTACTTAATTATTAACTTATTACCTTAACATCTCAGGGGGAACTTGAAATAAATGAATTAGGTGAAAGAGATTTGGCTGACACGAAAAAGTTTGGGAACCCCTGCATTACATGTAAATAAGAAATTATGTGAATTTGTGCATTTTAATGTGTTTGAAAGAAAAAAGCCTTCCAAAGACATAGTAATACATGGTTAAATAACCCACTGAGTGATAATTCAAATACAAAATTAATGTGTTCATCAGTAGTTAATGCAATGTTGAAATGTTGAGAAAACACTTCTTAAAATGAAAATGATTTTTGTAAATCCAGTGGTCAAATGCTGTGAGGCCTCTTAATTTTCTGTGTAATTACAGCCACCTGACCAGTGACTAGACTTTGTGTGAATGTCCACAAACCTGGAAAACTTTCTGACTGTAATTAAGCATTAGGCTATTTTAGAAAGGAACATTTAAAAGATGAAAAAGAGGAATTAG